TGTAGGTAGTCTTGAGTCATCACACAATGTCACCAAACTGTATAACTGCATCTACTAAAAGCTATTTACCACAAGTTACTGGCTATCTAATTTCTTGAGGGTTAAAACAATGGTCCTGTAATGACTGGATTGAAAGAGTCATTCTCCACTGTATAAAGGAAAATTAAAAAGTAATATAAGTTGTTGTGCGTGCCGGGTGTGAGCCAGGCCCTTTTTTGTGCTCTGCGCGGGCTGTGGCCAGCAGCCCGGGCACGCGGGGTCGGAGAGAATGGGCGACACGCTAGAATTAGGCACGGACTCGTAACGGTAGATTTAAAGATTGTTTACTTACACCGAAGATGGTTGCGGTGCAGGCTGGAAAACTTGCTTGAGTTGCAGTTACAGACAAAACAACACGAACAATCACGTGGAGTTTGCTAGGCTCCATGGAAACAGAGCTCCGGATGCCCTGGACAAGCGCACCACCAAAATAGAAACCTCGTAGATACGTCTTAAAAAATATTATTGCTCGAAGACGGAAAGAGGTGGGCGGTGGATCAGGTCGCCAAACTCCTCTGAATCTCACACAGGGTTTCTATTACCCTGCCGTGTACCCAGAGTCCCCACGAGATGGATGTGGAGTCCTCTTTGGCTTTGGCGGAACCCGCTCAAGCCTCTTATACGGCAAAGCTTCTTATCCGGCTAGCAGCCCATTTGTTAGCCGCCACGTGGGAATAATTTAGAACTAGCCAATAGCGGAGAACAAATTTGCATGCGGGTGGCGGGAACTCCTTTGCACCCTGCATTTCTGCTGCAACTTGAGAAATGCACCCTGCAAAGAAAGCTACAAATTGGCGGGAAATTCTCCCTTGCACCGGGGTTCTCCTCTGCAGCAGAAAACTCCATCGTGCAACGAAGCTGCAATTTAGCAGGAATAATTCTAATGCCGAAGCACACACAAAATCATACCTTTGGGTTATGACAGTTGTCAAGTAAATAATCTCCTGAAGATTATTATGGTCCACTTCAGTATACATGAGCACATTAATCTAATTAGTTTATATATAGGTTTTCATTTATATCATTTTAAACTAGTTTATCTATCTATCTAGTTGACCTTTTCAAGGAGATGATTTTAAATTCATATAGCATGATTCAAATTGAAAAAGGTTGGTACATTTTTTTTTTTTACTGCATATTGCCTTTAAAAATTTGCTTCCGACAGAAAAAGGTTGAGTGCCTCCAGCCACAAGACTCTAAGGTTTTGCTTTCACTACCTGATATATAGTTTTGAAATCTGTTAAATAACAATGAAACTATGATTTTTTTTGTGAACCTTTCCTATATTTTGCCTGTAAATCATTTCTTCCAGGATAACTTCTAACATTACAAGCTATTGGGCAGATTCAGCTACTAGAATTTTTGTAAAATAGCCATATATTTCAGGGAAATGTTACTTTATTTGGTCTCCCAAGCCTTTTCAAACTCTGGAACTTATTTCCAAAATATACATTGGACTGAGGTGCAAACAAAGGAAAATTCAGTCTTGAATCACTGACACATTTAAAGTGTAAAATATTTGCTTCTTAAAATGTATCGGTTATAATCCTTTTCATCTGTTAGATGTATCCAATTGTACTGATGGGCCATGTCCAGATAAGCATGGACATTTGCTTTCCCAGGGACAAGTAGCAGTGGCATACTTTCCCTAGTCTAGGGAATGCCCATGCTAGGTGCGCTCTGGTATATGGCAGGTTACCCCAGGTCAGGTAGAGCAGCCTGGGACCAGCACCGAGCTGGTTCCAACAGCCTTACCTGGGGTTCTGGGCACCTCCTAGGGCTGAGCCAATGGCAGGAAGCCTGGCTGGGAGCTGAAGCATGGCTCTGGCCAGCCAGGCTCTGGTTTTGAGTGGTGCATGTTGCCACCACTTATGCCACCATGCTTTTTTTTGGCATGAGTTTTTCTGACCACAGGATCTCCCAGAGTCAGAAAATCCCTCCCCACTTCTCCTCCCCATGCTGCAAGGTAACACGGTGGGAAACATCTGCATATGTGGGATGTGGCGCCATAGACAGGTCTGCAGCGCCACATACCGCATGTCCACGCTCATCTGGATGCAGCCATTGAGTCCATTGGATCCTACTGAAGCCCTGTGAACTTTTATGAGGCCAGGATTACACCTATTAGATGAAGGGAACCCAGATTTACTGGTTGAAATATTTGGGAAATAGTAACAATGGAAGTTTTAGGAAAATGAAAATATTTATAACTGTAACACATACACAAAATGTACAAGCATTTTGTACTGCAAAGTGTTCTAGTTTATGTTGCTGTAAATATTTTTAGTTTGAGTATGACCAGATTTAATATGCGTTTCCTCTGCTGTCTGTTTCTTAGTTTGGAAAGAAGTAGGAGATACTGCACATAGGCAGATACCTGTGGCCTTTGTTAGGCATATAGTCTAGGGATACCCCCTGCCGTTTACTGTAAACAAAAGCTAGTTTCAGTCCCATTTAGAGAGGGGGAAATCAGACCCCTAGCTTCAATTACTAAATTGAGCAGTGGTCTTAAATCAACTGGTTGAGAGAGAGGCTGGGGGCAGGGCAAGCCCGGATTGGAAACGCTTGGGTGATGTCACACCAGATATATAGGAACTTCTCAACTGAAGCCTAGCCTCTTTTTCTTGGAGCTGCTGAAGGCTGGACAGCTGAAGGCCAGCTGAAAAGAACTGTTCCCCATGAAGAAGTCTCCCCCACTCTCCACTGGAGAAGTGAGTTGGAGCTGTGTGAAGGGAAAGCCTCAGGTACGGGGAGAGGAAGTCTGTTTCAGGGCTTGAGACCTCTGTTCCCTCCCTCTTCTTTCCCTTCTTGTTTTCCTAGGTTTTGAGAGAGGGTATTAATCCATGGAGCACACTGACCAGGGTTAGATCCTGGCAGCTTGCTGGCAGTTTTGGCCAGGATTAGAGGCCTGGCAAGTTTGGGCCAATCGTGAGTCCTTGAGCAGGATAATTTATTAATTATCTGACCAGGGTTGGAGCCTGGCAGGTTCTTTTATTGCAGATTTGGGCTAGGATCAATATCTTGGCACACTTTGTGCCAGGGCTGAGAGCTAAGAACCTGATATGCTTTAGTTGCTGTTGCAACTTCTTTTGTCTTAGCCTTACTATGTGATTGAATCCCAGTTGTATGTCTTGCTGGCAGTTTTGGCCAGAATTAAAGGCCTGGCAGATTTTAGCCAGGCCTAAGATCTTGAGTGGGATAATACCAAGGGGATATTAATCCCTGGAGGAATGGACTCCTAGCAATTATTGGCCAAGATAGGCCTAGCCCCCTTAGTTGTTTTGAAATTGTTGCATCTCAGCTAATCTGTGTATCTGAAGCCAGCTGTATGTTCAGGCTCAGAGTGAGTAGGTCTAGGTCATTTTTTTGTTGCTGTTGCAATTTCTTTTGTCTCAACCTAGTCCAAGCCCAGGGCAAATAGGCCTGGTTTCTTCCTTTTATTGTTTTACAGCTGTTGTATCTCAGCCTTGTTGTGTACCTGAGCCTTACTGTACGTTCAACTGCAGGCCAAAATAGGCCTCGGTTCCCTTGAGTTCTTTTACAGTTTTCTGCTCCAGCAGAGCTGGGGCTTGGAACTAGGAATTTTGGGGGTGTGGTATGCTAACTAAAGCCACAAATCACCCCCTCAAAACCAGCATGTAGAAGTGGAGATTAGCATCTTACAGCTTTGAATGGAGCAACAAAGTGCCCCTTGCACTGCAGAAGGACCTGTGCTCTCTAGCTACTCCCTGAGGTGCATCAAATCCCAAGGAGCATCACATAAAACAAGGGTGGGTCCGCCAGTCCAGCCTATTGCTCAAGTGTAGGTATAGGGGTGCAGGCCCTGGAACTACCCTTTGGAGAGCCCCCAAATCACAGACTGCCTGGGTATGAATGAAGCCTCCCTAAGATGCTGCAACTTATAGACTATGCTGTGTAATTAGTAGTGGTTTAAATTGGATTTCTTGTTTTCCTATGTTTTCTGTAATAAATCTGTCCTTTTGTGTTTATACTCCTTGTGAAGAGGAAGGTTTGTTTACACAGGACACTCCAGCCAAATTCCCAGATATCTGAGAAGGGCCTCAATCCACAGTGATCACTCAAGTGATTCCAGATATCTGCGTAGGGGCTCAAACCACAGTGAAAACTCATTGGGTACCCTGAAATTTGAACTCAGCCCTTGTTGCTGTGAACTAGTGCCTGGCAGAAGGGTTACATAACATAATTTCATCCCTTCTTACCTACCTCCTTGAATGTTTGGCATAGAGACCCACTGTGATAGCATGGTTTGGTCCTGTATAATGTTTTGGTTATAAGGGAGAGTGGTAGCAATTTCAATGTTTACCCTGCCCAATGCTTTGAGTATTAACACCTATAATGTCATATTTAGTGTGGAGAAACCCCTTAGGTTATACCATTTTGAGTTTGTTTCTTAAACCTGCATTCAGATTAGTTTGATATGTACAGTACTAGAAAATCACCATTTACCTCCTCGTACTTGCATTCCTAAGTAAAATTATGGCAGCCCTGCAAAACCACAGACAATCCACAAGACCCTGGCGCATGTAGCCAAAGCATCTGCAGATACTGAACCATAAATGCCAATGAATTGGCAAAGCCCCTTAAGGAGTGAGAAATCCTGTATAAATTAAGGCTCCCTTGGCAACATTAAATCTTGTATTTTCTAACTTTCAAATGCTTGACTTAGCAACCAGAATAACATCCATTAACAGTTTTTATATGCAACTTGGAATGACCTGTACAACTATCCACAGCATAGCTAGAAGAGCTGGTCTAAATTCAGGCTAGTGAAATCTTCATAGCACAGTATCATCTATTTTGTCTGTATAGTAACATACTCTAAAAAATATTTTTATTTTCAGAGGAAATCAGTAAAGCTAACTTCATTTTTTTTTTAAGAAACAGATGTCTAACTCTGCATTGGTTAGTGGTCAATAAATTATATATTATTTTTTTTACAGTGAGCTTATCCTGTCCAGCATTGACATTGATGCAACTGGGGACTGGGAGTGTCTTGTCAACAATTCTTATGGAACCAGTAGGAAGCAAGTAGAAATTGTGGTACTAGAAACAGCTGCACCATACTGCCCTGCAGAAAGAGTAATTAACAATAAAGGAGATTTCAGGTATGATTTTTTTCTAAGTTTAAAATAACCAACTGTGCAGAGGGAAAAGATTTGTCTTCTATAAAGAGTATCTGTAAAATTCCATATTGCACGCTACAGTAGGTTCTTATCCATTGTCTCCAACAACATTTTTATTAGTAAGGTAAGGAATTGCAGACTTGATGAAGGTGGATAGACAACTGGTTGGATCATCATGCACAATAGACATATACAAGTCCATGGGGCTGGATGGCATACACCTAAGGGTGATGAGGAAGGGAGGTAATGGGGGAAAAAAAAAACCCTTGGGTGAACAGGGAACTCCAGGAGAATCTGGGGGCAAAGAAAGAGATGTATAGGCAATGGAAGCAGGGAGCAGCCACCAAGGAGGAATATATCTCCCTGGTGCACTATTGCAGGGAATCAGTTAGACAGGCCAAGGCAGGGCTTGAGCTCAGGCTGTCTTCAACAGTCAAGGTCAATAAAAAGTCCTCCTTCAGGTATATAGCGGGCAAAAAGAAAGCTCATAGCAACATAGGGCCCCTGCAGGACAAATCAGGACAGTTGGTGGTTGATGCGGGGGAAAAAGCAGAGCTCTTCAATGAGTTCTTTGCTTCAGTATTTCTGTGTACCAACCAAGCCAATTCCCCCACCTCAATCATTGATGGATGTCCACATGGCACCAGTCCGCCTACGGTTATTTCTGAAATAGTTAAGGAGCTCCTGGAGGAGCTGGATGGGTACAAGTCAGCAGGCCCGGATAACCTCCATCCACGGCTGCTGAAAGAATTGGCCAGTGTTATACCTGAGCTGCTGGCACAGCTGTTCGAGCACTCGTGGTGCTCTGGCCAGGTCAATGAGGACTGGAGAAGGGCCAATGTGGTGCCCATTTTCAAGAAAGGGAGAAGGGATGAGCCGGGTAACTTTAGACCAGTCAGGCTTACCTCTATTCCTGGGAAAATGCTAGAGAAAATAATCAAAGAACACATTTGTGAAGGCCCAGCAGGGGAAACGATGCTGAGGGGAAACCAGCACGGGTTTGTCACAGGTAGATCCTGCCTGACAAACCTTGTAGTCTTCTATGACCAGGTCACACACTGCCTGGA